GAGAGAGAGAGAGAGAGAGATCAGGAGAGAGAGAGAGAGAGAGAGAGAGAGAGAGAGAGAGAGAGAGAGGGAGCTGTTAGAGAGAGAGAAGAGAGAGGGAGAGAGAGAGACAGGAGTATCAGGGAGCTGTTAGAGGAGAGAGAGAGAGAGAGGAGAGGGAGAGAGGAGCTGTTAGAGGAGAGAGAGAGAGGGAGGGAGAGAGGGAGCTGTTAGAGGAGAGAGAGGAGAGAGAGAGAGAGAGAGTATCAGGAGCTGTTAGAGGAGAAAGAGAGAGAGAGGGAGGGAGAGAGAGGGAGGGAGTATCAGGAGCTGTTAGAGGAGAGAAAGAGAGAGAGAGGGAGGGAGAGAGGGAGCTGTTAGAGGAGAGGGAGGAAGAGAGAGAGGGGGAGGGAGTATCAGGAGTTGTTAGAGGAGAGAGAGAGAGGGAGTATCAGGAGATGTCAGAGGAGAGAAAGAGAGAGAGAGAGAGGGAGAGAGGGAGCTGTTAGAGAAGAGAGAGAGAGGGAGAGAGAGACAGGAGTATCAGGAGCTGTTAGAGGAGAGAGGGAGAGGGAGGGAGAGAGGGAGCTGTTAGAGGAGAGAGGGAGAGGAAGGGAGAGAGGGAGCTGTTAGAGGAGAGGGAGGAAGAGGGAGGGAGAGAGGGAGATGTTAGAGGAGAGAGAGAGAGGGAGGAGTATCAGGAGCTGTTAGAGGAGAGAAGAGAGAGGAGGAGAGAGGGAGAGAGTTAGAGGAGAGGGAGGAGAGGAGAGAGAGGGGGGGAGTATCAGGAGCTGTTAGAGGAGAGAGAGAGAGAGGAGAGGGGGAGAGAGAGTATCAGGAGGTGTTAGAGGAGAGAGAGAGAGAGAGAGAGGAGGGAGAGGAGAGAGAGAGGGGAGAAGAGGGGAAAAGGACAACAACACTAGTAGAGTGTCAGGAGCTGTTAGAGTAAAGAGATCAAGAGAGCAAAAGAGGGAAGGTGGAGATGGGAGAGAGAAATTAAGAGAAAGAAAGGTATGAGAGAGAAGGGGGGAGAAAGAAGGGAGGAGAGAGTAAAAGGACAAAATAGAGAGGAGAGGGGGAGGGGAAAGAGAGCAGGAGAAGGGGAGGAGAGAGGAGGAGAGGAGAGTCGTGTGGAGTAAACTGCAGTAAACTGTGTAATCTCATGTTTAATCAGAGAGAGTCCCCACGCACTGCACAGCTCAAGAGGATGAGTAACAGCGGCGCCCTCCCTCTCCCCAAGACAACTCCCCTCTCTCCTCCCTCTCTTCCTCCCACTCTCTCTTTCTCTCTCTCTCTCCATTCTCTGTATTTACGCTTTTTTTTTTTGTTTATTTGTTTTTGTTTTTCCCCTCCAGATCCAGGTCTGTTTTTGAGGAGGTAAAAACATTATAACATGTCTTAAAGCTCATAAGAGTATATTTTGTCTAATATACTGTAGGACCTTTAAAAAAAAAAGGTAATATTTGGAAGAGAAAGTGCAGATTTAGAAGAGAGAGAGAGAGAGAGGGGGGGGGGGGACACTGAGCGCATGTTTTGTTGTGCTATAATTAGACTCTGTTTTGAAGGATCCATTTGTCAAACGTAGGTGGTTAAAAAGTCTTTTGTGCCACACACAAGCTTTTGTTATGAATCATTCTTTTTATCTCTCCTCTACATCCTCTACTCCATCTGACCCTCTCCTCTGTATCTACTGTTCCTCTGACCCACTCCTCTGTTCTCCTCTCTCCTTCTGTATCTTCTTTTCTCTCCCTCTCCTCTTTATCTTCTGTTCCTCTGTCTTCCTCTCTCTCTCTTCTCTCTGACCCTCTCCTCCTGTTCCTCTATCTGTTTCCTCTGATTCTCTCTTCCCTCACCCTCTCCTCTGTTCCTCTGACCCTCTCCTCTGTTCCTCTGACCCTCTCTCCTCTGTTCCTTGACCCCTCTCCTCTGACCCTCCCTCTCCTCTGTTCCTCTGACCTCTCTCTGTTCTCTGCTTCCTCTGATCCTCTCTCTCTCTCTCTGTCCTCCTCTGTTCCTCTGACCTTCTCCTCCTCTGTTCCTCTGACCCTCTCCTCTGTTCCTCTGACCTCTTCTCCTCTGTCTCCTCTGACCTCTCCTCTCCTCTGCTCCTCTTCCTCTGACCCTCTCCTCTGCTCCTCTGCCTCCTCTCTCTCCTCTGTTCCTCTGACCCTCTTCCTCTGTTCCTCTGACCCTCTTCCTCTGACCCTCTCTCCTCTGACTCCTCTCCTCTCTCCTCTGACTCCTCTCCTCTGACCCTCTTTCCTCTGACCTCTCTTTCCTCTGTCCTTCCTCTGACCTCTCTCCTCTGTTCCTCTGACCCTCCTCTGTTTCTCTGTTCCTCTGACCTTCTCCCTCCTCTCTTCCTCTGTTCCTCTGACCCTCTCCCTCTCCTCTGACTCCTCTGTCTCCTCTGTTCCTCTGACTCTCCCTCTCCCTCTCCTCTGTTCCTCTGACCCTCTTCCTCTGTTTCCTCTGACCCTCTCCCTCTTTCTCTGACCCTCTCCTCTGTTCCTCTGACCCTCTCCTCTCTTCCTCTGTTCCTCTGACCTCTCTCCTCTCCTCTCCTCTGACCTCTCTCCTCTGCCCTCTCCTCTGCTCCTCTGACCTCTCCTCTATTCCTCTGATCCTTCTCCTCTCCTCTGTTCCTCTGACCTCTCTCCTCTGATTCCTCTGACCCTCTCCTCTCTGTTCCTCTGACCCTTCTCTGTTCCTCTGCTCCTCTGACCTCTCCTCTCCTCTGACCTCTCCTCTTGACTTCCTCTTCCTCTCCTCTCCTCTGACCCTCTCCTCTGTTCCTCTGACTCCTCCTCTCCTCTGTCTCTCTCTTCTCTGACCCTCTCCCTCTCCTCTGACCCTCTCCCTTCTCTTTCCTCTGACCTTCTCCTCTTCTCTGCTCCTCTGATTCCTCTGACCCTCTTCCTCTGTTCCTCTGACTCCTCTGTTCCTCTGTTCCTCTGACCCTCTCCTCTGTTCCTCTCTCCTCTGTTCCTCTGACCCTTCTCCTCTGTCTCCTCTGTTCTCTGACCTCTCTCCTCTCTCCTCTGTTCCTCTGACCCTCTCCTCTGCTCCTCTCTCTCCTCTTCCTCTGACCCTCTCCTCTGACCTCTCCTCTGTTCCTCTGTTCCTCTCCTCTCCTCTGTTCCTCTGACCCTCTCCTCTGCTCCTCTCCTCTGACCCTCTCCTCTGTTCCTCTGACCCTCTCCTCTGCTCTCTCCTCTGACCTCCCTTCCTCTGATTCTCCTCTGCTCCTCTGATTCCTCTGACCCTCTCTCCTCTGTTCCTCTGGACCCTCTCCTCTGCTCCTCTCTGACCCCTCTTGCTCTCTGTTCCTCTGACCCTCTCCTCTGTTCCTCTGACCCTCTCTCCTGTTCCTCTGACCCTCTCCTCTGTTCCTCTGACCCTCTCCTCTGTTCCTCTCTCCTCTGACCTCTCCTCTGTCTCCTCTGTTCCTCTGTTCCTCACCTCTCTCCTCTCCTCTGTTCCTCTGACCCTCTCCTCTGTTCCTCTGACCCTCCTCTGACTCTCTCTTCCTCTGACCTCTCCTCTCCTCTGTTCCTCTCTGACCTCTCTCTGCTGTTCCTCTCACCTTCTCCTCTGTTCCTCTGACCCTCTCCTCTGTTCCTCTGACCCTCTCCTCTGTTCCTCTGACCCTTTTGTCCTTTAGTCTGGGGCATAAACATTTTGGGATAATCACAATTTTTCATACTAATATTTAAAAGTCAATATCCTGTTTACACTGTTCACAAACCAAATGACATCACACTTTTATAAATAATTTTTAATACATCATTTGGCTTATTTATGTGACTTCTCACTGTAGTAGTTGTAGTAGTTGTTGTAGTTGTAGAAGGCCTATAAGAAGTAGTTGTAGAAGGTCTGTAGTAGTTGTAGTTGTAGTAGATGTAGTAGTTGTAGTTGGCCTATAGCAGTAGTAGTAGTAGTAGTAGTAGTAGTAGCAGCAGTAGTAGTAGTAGTTGTAGTAGTTGTAGTAGCTGTTGTAGTAGTAGTAGATGTAGTTGTAGTAGGTGTAGTAGTAGTCATAGTAGTTGTTGTAGTAGTAATAGTTGTTCTTGTAGTAGTTGTAGTTGTAGTAGTTGTAGTATCTCTTGTAGTAGTAGTAGTGGTAGTAGTAGTAGTAGTAGTTGTTGTTGTAAAAATAGTAGTTGTTGTAGTAGTTGTTGTAGTAGCTGTTGTAGTAATAGTTGTTGTAGTTGTAGTAGATGTAGTTGTAGTTGTAGTAGCTGTAGTAGTTGTAGTAGTAATTGTAGTTGTAGTTGTAGTAGTTGTTGCAGTAGTAGTAGTTGTAGTAGTTGTTGTAGTTGTACTTGTAGTAGGTGTAGTAGTAGTAGGAGTTGTATTAGTTGTTGCAGTAGTAGTAGTTATAGTTGTAGTAGGTGTGGTAGTTGTAGTTGTAGTAGGTGTAGTAGTAGTAGGAGTTGTATTAGTTGTTGCAGTAGTAGTAGTTATAGTTGTAGTAGGTGTAGTAGTTGTAGTAGGTGTAGTAGTAGTAGGAGTTGTATTAGTTGTTGCAGTAGTAGTAGTTATAGTTGTAGTAGGTGTAGTAGTAGTAGGAGTTATAGTTGTAGTAGGTGTTGTAGTAGGTGTAGTAGTAGTAGGAGTTGTATTAGTTGTTGCAGTAGTAGTAATTATAGTTGTAGTAGGTGTGGTAGTTGTAGTTGTAGTAGGTGTAGTAGTAGTAGGAGTTGTATTAGTTGTTGCAGTAGTAGTTATAGTTGTAGTAAGTGTAGTAGTTGTAGTTGTAGTAGGTGTTGTAGTAGTTTTTGGCCTATAGTAGTAGTTGTAGATGGCCTGTAGTAGTATGTAAGTAGGTAGTAGTAGTAGTAGTTAGTAGTAAGTCTTTGTTTAGCCAATACTCATTGTTTGTTTACATTAGTGCACCCACATGGTTTCACTGTTTTGAGTCCGATGCAGAAGGGGCGGGGCCTTAGCAGAAGGGGGCGTGGTTTGCTGTTTGAGTGGGCGTGGCCTGTGTGCAGTATCAGATAGAGGCCTGACGCAGCTCTCACTTTCAACCACAAACTTCAACAACGACACAAATGTCTGTTTAAACCGGATTATGTACATGTGCAAAGATATGTTATTGTTTTTAGGATGTCTCAGTCTGTCCAAGAAGATGAACCAGGAGCTGTTTATGGTTTAAGAGCCAATCTGCAGATTCACTGTGAGTAATCGGAACTGTACAAAACTATACAAGATTGTTATCACTCAGAAAATAAAGAGCTAAAGACAAGACTAAGGATTCTATTTTATGTGTATGACTTATGTGGACCACACCAAGATTAAACCAAGACTAAACCAGGGCTAAACCAAGACTAAACCAGGACTAAACTGGGGCCAAACATGGAGTATACTAGGACTGAACCGGCACTAAAACAGGACTGAACCAGGACTGAGCTAGGGCTAAACCAGGACTACAAAAGTACTAAACCAGGACTGAACAGAGCCAGGATAAACCAGGACCAAGCCAAGGCTAAACTAGGTCTAAACCAGGACTAAACTAGGACTACAAACCAGGACTAAACCTAAAGCAGGACTGAGCTAGGGTTTACCCAGGACTAAAACTGGACTAAACCAGGGATAAACCAAGACAAAACCAGAACCGAACTGAGCCAGGGATAAACCAAGACTAAGCCAGAACTAAACCAGGTCTAAAACTGGACTAAACCTAAAGTAGGACTGGGCTAGGACTAAACCAGGACTAAACCAGGTCTAAACCAGGATTAAATTCAAAGCAGGACTGGGCTAGGACTAAACCAGGACTAAACCAGATCTAAACCCACGACGAAACCAGGACTACAAGCAGGACTAAACGTAAAGTAGGACTGGGCTAGGGCTAAACCAAGACTAAAACTGGACTAAACCAGGACTTAACCAGAGCTAAACCAGAACTAAATCAAGACTAAAGCAGAACTGAACTGAGCCAGGACTTAACCAAGACTAAACCAGGATTACAAACCAGGTCTAAACCAGGTCTAAACCAAGACTAAACCAGAACTGAACTGAACCAGAGCTAAACCAGGACTAAACCAATACTAAACCATGCATAAAGAAAGTCTAAACCAGGACTGAACCAGGACTGAACCAAGACTGAGCCAAGACGGAGCCAAAACTAAACTTTGGACTTATCTTGGTCCAGTGTAATCAATGACAAAGTTAGTAGGACACCAGAGTTACACTATAAGCTCCACACAGATGTAATATTTAACTGGAGCGTGAACAATGCTTTAGTATTCATCATCCATCAAGATTAGACCACAGTATATAAAGATACAACATGTCACTTTTTATTATTTACAAGACTAAACCAGGACTAAAAAACAGGACCACACCAGGACTAAGCAATAGATAAAGCCGTTTCAAATCAGGAGTGAACCAGAACTAAACCAGTACTAAGTCAGGACTCAACCAGGACTAGGTAAGGGTTGAACCAGGACTAAACTAAAACTAAACCAGAGCTAAAACAGGACCAAACCAGGACTAAATTATAACCAAACCAGGACTAAACCAGGAACAAACCAAGACTAAATTAGAACTAAACCAGACCTAAAATAGGACTGAACCAAAGCCTAAACCAGAACTAAACAGAACTAAACCAGAACTAAAACCAGACCAAACCAGAACTAAACTAGGACTAAAACAGGTCTAAACCAGGATTAAACCAGGACTAAAAGTAGGACTAATTCTGATTTTAGAACACATTTCTGAACTCTAAAATTTTATAATTGTGTTCATGATCTTTTCTTTAGTAGAATGTTGTCGAGTGACGTAGAGGACAGGAAGCTGGGCATGGAGGAGGAGGAGGAGGGGGCGGAGGCTGTGCCACAGTTGCTATGGCGAAAGCGCGTTGTCGACGAAGACTCAGAGCTGCAGGCCGTGGCGTCTTCTCCCAATGGAAGATTCTTAAAGTTTAACATCGAGATCGGAAGAGGATCTTTCAAAACGGTTTTCAAAGGTCTGGACACGGAGACCACAGTGGAGGTGGCCTGGTGTGAGCTGCAGGTAAAAACAAAACTAAGAAGTTAACGTAAAGCTGCACTATGTAACTTTCTTGGTGGGAGGTCCATCACCTACTTGTTTGTATGGATATGTCATTGCTCTGTCTAGAATGTTCCACAGTATGACTTTAACAGCTCTACCTTACATTTATTCAATTACAGGTGGGTTTAAAGCTCAAAAATACCTAGAAAAACAGACATTCTGACTGTGAGCGGGATCGCCTCTCCACAGATCTGACCTGTAACTTGGTCTCATTTGGTCTCCATGAAAATAGGTTTAATGTCATACTGCGAAACATTTCAGACAAAGCGATAACATCTCCATGGAGACAAGCAGGGGATGGACCCTCCACCAGAAAAGCTGCGCCATGCAACTTTAAAGAGGAGGTATTACGCAAAACATGCCTGAAGAGGTTTTAGATGTTATCCATGCATGTTTGAGTAATCTAGCGTTCACTCCCAGGCCCTTAAATACACAAAAGCACAATACAAAACAATACACTACAACTTCACAAACCTGATGAGATGTGCAGGAGTTTGTGTGTTGTGATAGCGCTCTGAAGGGGGAGTGGGATTCAGAGCATAATAAACGAAATGTAAACTTATTAAACATTGCTTTTGGCAAATATAGCATTTTCAGAACCATAAAAGGAAACATGGTGATCTAAATATATTATGTGTTATAGTTCAGTGATTCTTAACCAAGTAGAGCTGCGACCACCTCCTTGGGGGCCCCACAATCAGTACAATATAATGCATTTAATATGAGAAAGGGCTCAAGGTTACTTTGTTCATAACATGTCTGGCGTCAAGATTGAAAAGGTTAAGAACCCCGTTATAGTTAATACCCCATAGAAATAAAAAAAAAACAAAAACTCCTCTTTAAAGATGACATATTATGCTTTTATTACAGTATTTCTTATTAAAGGTGCACTGTGTAACTTCTAGGGTGTAGGGTTCGCTACTTGCTTGTCTCTATTTCTTTGACTGGAATGTTCCACAGTTGGGAATTAAACATATCTCCCCTTGCATTTGTTCAATTACAGGTGTTTTATAGCTCAAAAATATCTTAAAAAACATGAATTCTTACCATGTGCAGACTTGCTTCTCCATAGATCTGACCATTAACCTGTCTCCATTGTAATGACCAAGTTTATTGCCAAACTGCGGAATAATCAATGCAATTAAAGGTTGTATAGAGGATTTTTTAAGGGAAGTGAAATACAGCGACTGTCCTTTTACAAATGTTGTGCATGTGCGACGCCACCTTCCTCAGTAGAAACATCTCCTCCTCCCGCCTCTTTACTCTAGAAATCACATTTGTTTACATCCAGTGCATGTTCAGAATTACCGTTGAAGTGACCTGCCTAGAAATATTTTAGCGACCGACGCGTCAGTTTTTAGACCCTTCGGACTTTCTTTTGCGGCGAACTGGTCGTGGATTCTCGTCTGCCATCGCAACAAACTTTGTGCGAATTGCGAGGAAGCGACAGTTTGAAAAAGCCTCTAAGAACCGCCACATAAACCACATAATCCCCGAGCGCCGACGAGTCAGTTACACTAAAAATGTAGGGAGTTTGACTGACAACCTAACAGCCAATGGAAAAAGAGGGAGCCTCGTTTTCTATTGGCTGATGTTTATCTGGCCTCATTACGTCCACAACTGATAGATTTTCATTCTTTCTTTTTTTTTCGGTCATCATAATTAAAAGCTGCTGCGTCTCTGTAATGGTATTTTAAACTTTCAATGACAATTTTAAACAAAAAAAAAAAATCCTCCATACAACCTTTAATTAATATCTCCATGGAGACAAGCAGGTGGAAAAACCCTCCACTGGAAAAGTTAAACAGTGCTCTAAACTTTTAAAACATACAATAATGGTAAGTTTATGTTTTGTTCATTGTAAACGGCGGCAGGTTGAATGGTTTATAGAAATACCAGGAAAGTGTCTTATCTGGACTTTATGAGTTTATGATGAGAACGAGGTCATCATTTATGTATTAGTTTCAGTGCATCTTTCAAGACGCTCAAAGTTCCTCCACCCTTCATTCATTTATTCAGGAAGTCATTCTCACGTCACTCACGCTAGAGCTGAATGCTTTGGGAATCAAATCTAAACGTGACTTTTCTGTGGTTTGATTTGTCATTGTTCATTGTTGGTTCAGTTCTGGTTTAGTCCTTGTTTAGTCCTGGTTAAGCCCTAGTTTAGTCCTTGTTTAGTCCTGGTTTAGTCCTGGTTTAGCCCTGGTTTAGCTCTGGTTTAATCCTGGTTTAGTCCTTGTTTAGTCCTGGTTTTGTCCTGGTTTAGTCCTTGTTTAGTCCTGGTTTAACCCTGGTTTAGTCCTGGTTTAGTGCTTGTTTAGTCCTGGTTTAGTCCTGGTTTAGTCCTTGTTTAGTCATTGTTTAGTCCTGGTTTAGTCCTGGTTTAGCCCTGGTTTAGCCCTTGTTTAGTCCTTGTTTAGTCCTGGTTTAGTCCTGGTTTAGTCCTTGTTTAGTCCTTGTTTAGTCATTGTTTAGTCCTGGTTTAGTCCTGGTTTAGTCCTTGTTTAGTCCTTGTTTAGTCCTGGTTTAGCCCTTGTTTAGTCCTGGTTTAGCCCTGGTTTAGTCCTGGTTTAGTCCTTGTTTAGTCCTGGTTTAACCCTGGTTTAGTCCTTGTTTAGTTGTTTAGTCCTTGTTTAGTCCTGGTTTAGTCCTGGTTTAGTCCTTGTTTAGTCCTTGTTTAGTCCTGGTTTAGTCCTTGTTTAGTCCTGGTTTAGCCCTGGTTTAGTCCTGGTTTAGTCCTTGTTTAGTCCTGGTTTAGCCCTGGTTTAGTCCTTGTTTAGTCGTTGTTTAGTCATTGTTTAGTCCTGGTTTAGTCCTGGTTTAGTCCTTGTTTAGTCCTTGTTTAGTCCTTGTTTAGTCCTTGTTTAGTCCTGGTTTAGCCCTGGTTTAGTCCTGGTTTAGCCCTGGTTTAGTCCTGGTTTAGTCCTGGCACGAACTCGCTGACACATGGAGATAAGGCGTTAGCATGACTCAGCCTTTTTGGTCCGTACACACAATCTGATTGGACAAGCAGCTGCTGGTGATGATAACAACACACAGGCTAAAGAGGATCACATTGTTAGCACAGCAGCTAACGGTGTTCTGAACCAGATCTGAACCAGGTCTGAACAGGGTTAAACCAGGACTAAACCAGAACTAGACCACAACTGAACCAGGACAAACCTAGGGCTAAATCAGGACTAAACTAGGACTAAACCAGGACAGAACTAGAGCTGAACCAAGACCAAATCAGGACTTAACCAGGACAAAACAGGGCCAAGAGCATTTATCAGCTTTCTTATAGGACACAGACAGAGTTCAACATGAAAATAGATTTTACTTTCCCAGAGCTGCATTGTCATCATTTGAGATTCTCTTGCACACTTCCCATACACTGTATATATGAAACGGACATAGCTAAGCTGCTAGCTGCAATGTTCCAAATAGGAAGTGAGCATGGGCGCACTTCTGGTTCCATCAACTTTGGCTCAAATTGACTTTACACTGACAAATTTACACCCCTCTCTCTGTAACTGCTGCAGTGTGCCTCGTCATTTTGGTCTTAAAATGTTTATATTTAACCATTGATTGTACTGATCCTGTTTTTTATGTTGCTATTTTGTAAATAAGTTCCTTTTCCTAATATGAAATTGGCTCCAAATTTGCTCCTACAACAAGCCTCAATGAACTTCATTTGACTGGAGCCGAACGCTATGGCTGACATCACACTGCTTTAGTTCACTTCTTTGGACTAAACCAGGACTAAACCAGGTCCAAATCAGGACTAAGCCAGGACTAAACTGGAGCTAAAGCTGGACTAAACCTGGACTAATTCAGGGCTAAAGCAGGTCTATACCAGGACTAGACCAGATCTAGACCAGGACTAAACAAGGATAATACCAAGTCTAAACCCAAGACTAAAGACTAAGATATCCAGAGGCTAAATCAGATTAAAAACAGGGCTTAGGCAGACTAAAACCAGGTCTAAACCAGGTCTAAATCAGCTCTAAACCAGGTCTAAGACAGCAAAAGGACAGGGCCAAACCAGGCTTAAACCAGGACTAAACCAAAACAAAACCAGGACTAAACCGGGACTAACCCCAGACTAAATCAGGACTAAACCAGGTCTAAGCCAGGAAAAAACAGAGCCATACTAGGCCTAAACCAGGACTAAACCTGGACTAAACCAGGACAAAACCAAGACAAAACCAGGGCTAAACCAGGATAGTAAAAGCCCTTCCAACCTTCATCCTTTTGTATCTTTCCGTGCGTGTTTCCTCACAAATGACTTTGCTTCTTCTGTGACATTGAGTTTGTTTTGTCAACTTTAAAATGCTATATTTACATTAGACTCCCACAGAACATGATGGTACCACTACCCCGAGCCCCAGCAGGTCTGAAGGAACAGCTCAAAATGAAGGTGACGGGAAGTCTAGAACTTATGATTCAACTATCAGAAATACAGACAATATTGGCACAAAGTTCACTGTCATATCAGCACAAATGAGATTGTTTTGTTATAAAGTGAAAAGCGCTGTTATTTTTCAGTCACAAAGGTTTGATTGTAGACCACTGAAAGGACATTTAGAGATAAGACTAAAATTTAAAGGTCCATTTGACACTAGTCTATATCTCTGATGTTATAATGTTGTTTCCATCATTCACTGACACATGTTTGAGTGACCTTTATTAAGTTCAAAATACTCTGTTCCACCTTGTGATGTCATGAAGTGGTAGTTTTCAAGTTAACACCTGCCATTTTTTCTTTTGTTTAGTAGAGAGCGGAATTTCCAGAGATGAAATGATCCAAATGATTCTAGTGAAGGTGCATTGAGTTAAAAAATACAGATGAGCACTTCCTGTATCACCACATGACATCACAAGGTCGAAGAGAGTGTTTTCTGTTTGAGAGAAGAACTCAGCCTAAATATGCAGAGTTTGTGTGTTAAACATGTGTGAAGGAAACAAAAGAAATTCCAAGTATGTTTGTGACGAGGAAACAGCATTATAACATAGAACAGAAAGTGGTGTAATATGGACCCTTTAAACTGCAGGGACTCTACAATGTTTTGATGTAATGTGAGCCCAACCTTTAAGACATTATTAAACACAAATTTGCCATCACATTTCTCAGCAGTTCTGTTGTTTAGTGTCATCAGGAGCGTGTCCATGTTTGCCCTTAAGCAAAACAAAACAATGAAATCTAGTGTCAGTCCAGTCACAGCTCATAAACTACAGTTGGTTTATATTGGTGGTTTATAACGTCATTTCACTGGAGAAGTTTACATAAGCAGTTAGAAGAAGACTCAGGACACATAAACAAAGCAATGGGACTTTTTAATGACAATGCCCTTTATCTGTCATATACTGAAGACTAGGAGTGGACAATATGTTTTAGTTGTTTTTTTTTGACAGACATTGTGATTCAATTTGAGATTTATGTAATCATAAGAATCACATTTCAGAACAAGTTTGTAGAGATCTAAACTACAGGGTTAGCAGTTTTTATGCAGAATAAGACAGATTTTGGTGTTTGTAGAGGAAAATTATGGTACTTAAGAAACTGCAGCCTTTTTAATTTGATATTTTTTCCAATCAAATTGTGATTTTGATTCTTTCTGCCTAACTGAGGACACATATCATAGAGAGAGAGCCCTTTGGCTTTAGTGAGGAGCTCATTCTGCTTTCTGATTGGATAATTACCCATTGTTTCATATGATGCAGTAAATTTAGTTTTACCCCAGTGCAGATATATTGTAAAAGCAGCACTTAGCATGCTAGTTGATATCAACATTGTAGTGACTCCACTCTGGTCTCTGAGAATTGTGAAAAGTGTTTGTAAACTCATCATGGTGAATAATGAGGATGCTCTGAATGCAGCAGGTCAGCGAGGAATAACCTTGTACCACTGCAAACTGTTTAAAATGAACTAACTCTGTGTTGCACATTTTTATGATAGAAAGATCACCTCACCTCTACCTCACTCACTCCCATGTTCTTTCAGACCCAGCGGTTGTCTCGTGCAGAGAGGCTTCGCTTCACAGAGGAGGTGGAGATGCTCAAAGGGCTTCAGCATCCGAACATTGTGCGATTCTTCGACTCCTGGAAATCCAGCGCTCCAGGAGCCAAATGCACTGTGCTGGTGACCGAGCTCATGACCTCAGGGACGCTCAAGACGTGAGTGTGGAGTGTACTACACATGTATGTGTACTACTACTATGTGTACTACTGCTACTACTACTACTACTACTACTACTATAGTAGTAATACTAGTAGTAGTATTAGCCGTAGTTTTTGGAGCTACCCTTGACAGTTCATACACTTTATCCTGAACCTTACCGTGTCCCCCTTTATTCACCATCACCCCTGTTCTTGTTGTAGATACCTGCGCAGGTTCCGTCAGATGAAGCTGAAGTTGCTGCAGAGGTGGAGCTTTGAGATCTTAAAGGGTCTTCAGTTCCTCCACTCTCGCTCTCCTCCCATCCTCCATCGAGATCTCAAGTGTGACAACATCTTCATCACTGGACCAACCGCCTCCATCAAGATTGGAGACTTAGGGCTCGCCACGCTCAAGAAGAACTCATTCGCCAAGAGTGTCATCGGTGAGACCTGTTTTCAAATCAAATCACTTTACTTGTGGGTGATGAGACAGGTCATCCCCTCAAAGTCCTCTGGAACGTCTTCTGCCATTTTTGGTGTAAAAAGCCTGTAACATTGTTGTAAAAAGTCTGTAGCATTTCAGAGCTATAGCTGAGGGTCACCAAGGGTACAGGAAAAACTGCTCAAATCACACAATCCAGTTGTCTTTAACTTCACAAGCTGCTCTTCTTAGCAGCTCAAAATCCCCAAATATTAATTTATGTATCATACTATTTAAGAAGTTCACAAACTGCTCAGCGTGCCAGCCAGTCAGCCACAAGAGCAGCCATACTAACACACACTTACTTATTCTCAGCCAATAAAGTAGATCCAGACAGTGGACAGTGGACTTATTTTGACCTCGACCTTGCTCTACAGTATCTCTGTACTGGGGCAAGACACATTTTGTTCAAATACATGGCTAAAAATTAGATACTGGCTTTTTAATAAAAATGTTGTTCCAGGCCATGTTGCATTCACTGACCCCTGTGTGATCTCATGTTTCTCTCCGTGCTGCGTTCAGGGACCCCGGAGTTCATGGCTCCAGAGATGTACGAGGAGAAGTACGACGAGGGGGTGGATGTTTACGCGTTTGGGATGTGCATTCTGGAGATGGCCACTTCTGAATATCCGTACTCCGAGTGTAATAACCCAGCACAAATCTACAAGAAGGTCACAAATGTAAGACAAATGCATTCTATTAAAGCAACACTGTGTAACATTCTGGAGATGGCTATGTCTCAGTGTCAGAACGCAGCCCAGGTTACCATAGTGAAACAACACTCACTCACTCAGTTCAAGTTTTGTTGCAGCAACATTTACACTCTGCTTCTCAGTGGCCTTTTGTCTTAGTCAAATGTCTCAGTGCAGTTTAACAGAGTCCCTTTTGTTCATTTCTTCAAAGTATTTCCTCTGAAAGGTCTTCTGCCACATTTGCGTCACATATGGTGTGGCCTGTAGCATCTCCAATCTAGTGGTGATATGTGAGAATACAACAGGGGTGGGTCGAGTGCTCTAATTACAGATAGTAGCTTTAAAGCAACATTATGTAACACTTCAAAATTTGCCGTGACAGCCCTGTGTGTGTGTGTTTTCAGGGAATCAAACCGGACAGTTTCAACAAAGTGACAGTTCCGGAGCTGAAGGAGATCATTGAAGGATGTATCCGACCTAGCAGCGCTGAGAGGTAAAACCAAAATTCATCTACTGTATGTAAAAACTAAATAAAATTAAAAATATATATATATGCGTATTTCATTGGGACCACTTCTAGTTTCCATCTGTCTTTATAGATAATAAAACATGTTTTTCATCATTTGGTGAACACTGTGAGCAAAAATATTACATTGACAAAGGTCCAAAGCCCAAATGTGTCCAGTTATTAGAGGTGCTCTACGCAACTCATTTGAAGGACCTGCCATCTGCTTGTCTCCATGGAGATGTTTTTGTTTACCTGGAATGTTCCACACTTTGACATTAAACTTGTATATCTGCACAGAGACAAGAAGGTCTCATTTTGAGCAGTAAAAACATTGGTAATTGGGAAAAAAAAAGTCAGGTACATTTAATGCCATTCTGTGGAACATTCCTGGCAAAGCTTTAAAATGATAATTTTGACAAACATATGACATAGTGTACTTTTAAGGAAAACAGTGAGGAAATATTATATTCAACAAAAGTCAACAAAATAGAGATAGACTGACATAACATTGTTTTGCATTTACATTGGAGTCACTATCTATAATTCTATATATGTATTGTGGCAGGTTTACAGTGCAGGATTTGATCGAACACCCTTTCTTCGAGGAGGAGTTGGGAGTGAAAGTGGAGGTTGCAGAGGAGGACGATGGCCTGAAGCCGGCGCTAAAGCTGTGGCTGAAGATGGAGGGAAACAGGAAGCTGCACGGGAAGTACAAAGACAACAAAGCCATCGAGTTCCTGTTTGACATGTCCAAAGACAACCCCGAGCTGGTGGCGCAGGACATGGTACGACGTCATAACCCAATTTGAGTCATTTGCAGAAGTTGCACTAATCAAGATAGTCATTAGCTTGAGTTTATTTTCATTATTTTACTGACCTGAAACAGTACAAATGTTTTCTGTCCACTAGAACCTTTGTTCGCCATACGAGAAAATGTTGTTTTTCACACGTGTGCAGTGACTGGATAGGCAAACAGTCAGTCGGGCTGCTTGTTTGCATTGACAGTTGCGTTGTGTATGTCTGCCATGAGATAACTCCTCTTATTTTCAAGGATGCTTTGCATTTAATTGTTTTGTCATGACTTCATCATCTTACTCTAACTCACTGAATCTTGAAGATCAAAAACGTTACTTTGAAAAGTTAAAACTCACCAATAACTGTTGACGCAGTTGATGTTGGACTGATGTATGACGATTGTTCATGTGCGTCAATAACTGTTGATGTTGACTTGTTGATACGGATGCTTTTTGCCTACCAAAATGGCTGACGTGACATCATCGTGTTTTCTCATTCATTTAAATTAAATGAACTTTGCAAAAAACACTTTTAAAATACCATATAGCTGTAATCACAAAACACAGTATTACACTCAACTGATTTGACTTAGATGTTTTTCTCTGCACTGATCTGTTTGCTCAAGGTTTTGACCAGTTCAGTTCATGCAAATGAAACAAATAAATTGGTCGAAGAAGTCACAGTTGAACAGGTCAAAAATCAGACCCTCTGCGCAATTTTCAGGTTATAGTCTGTTAGCGTTGCCATGTTTGTTTTTTTTCGTTTGAGCACTTCACCATTGGTATCGCCCACACCGCAGTGCTGCTCTGTGATAGGTCCACCATCTGCTGGGTGAATTTGAACCTTACAGCAGACACACTTCAAGATGGATTCTTGTGAGTTTGTGAATTCACAAATATCAAGAGAATCCATCTTGCTGCGGTTAGGTGATGTAAAGCTATGATAAATATTTACCACAGGTGCTATCCCAAAACCATGAAAACCTGCCACATGCACTTTAAATGAAACTCTTAATTTGTCAGGGAAAACTGGCCCTACTTGACAATAGAATGCCTCTTCTCTTGTTTCCAGGTCATCTTAGGCTTTGTGTGTGAAGCAGACTACAGAGTGGTGACTAAAGCGATCAGGTACAGAGTGAACGCTGTCAAACGCCAACGAGAAAAGATGCAACGATTGGTCGACGATGATGCCAGCCTTCTCGAGTTTACCAATCAGAAGCCAGAATCTCCATTAAGCCAAGTAATTGTCTTTTTTGGGGCAAACACTGAATTGAATGTTTTCATACAAATTAAATCATTTGAATTTCTAGGACATGTCTTCAGATCCTTGGTTCCAGGCCCCGCCCACAGGATCCACCTTGAGCCCATTGGATTATGGGATCAGTAGTCTTTCCAGCAGAGCAAATGTGGAAGAAGAAAGAAAACCAAGCTCCATAGCCTCCACTGCATCTATAGCCTCAAGTAAGAGTCCAGACTTCTATAGATTAAAAAGGGTAAAGGCATTATATCTCATTTTTAAAAAGTGAAAAACAAAACTAGTTCATTTTAAACAGTTTACAGGGGTCCAGAGTTATTCCTTACTTACCTTATGCATGAGTATTCTAATTATTCACCGCAATGAGTTTATAAGCACGTTTCACAACATGCCCACTGTTCTGAACTTACTTTGCTCTCCTATTTTATTAACTTAAACTTCATCTCTTTCTTCAGTTGAAAGTGCTTCATCAGTTTCCTCTGGCGTTGCAGAAGCCCCGCCCTCTCCAGTCTCAAGCCCCGCCTCTCCACCACAAAGCCCCGCCTCTCAAAGTGTTAACCCTGTTCCTCCTGCCTTAAACGCCGCCCCTCCTCCAGCTGTAAACCAATCCCCTCCTTCCAGACATACCACGTCTTTATCATACAATCCCGGCAATCAAGAAAGTAGTCCCGCCCCTCCCATTTCAAATCCTTCAACCAGAACCTCAGTTCAATCTTATGGCCCCGCCCCTCCTGCCTATGACCCTGCCTCCTTAGTCTTAAACCCAGCCCCTCCTTCCCGAAACACCACCTCTTTGAGCTATAATCCCGCCAATCAAATTACAAACCCCGCCCCTCTGCAAATCAACACTCCTCCTCCCATTAGAAGCTCCACCACTTTGGTTTATAAACCCGCCAATCAAATTACAAACCCCGCTCCTCCTTTATATAACCCTGCCAATCAAGTCACAAATCCCGCCCTTCCTTTATATAACCCTGGCAATCAAGTCACAAACCCCGTCCCTCCTTTATATAACCCGGCCAATCAAATCACAAACCATACCCTTCCTTTATATAACCCCGCCAATCAAATTACGAACCCCGCCCCTCCTTTATATAACCCCACCAATCAACTGACAAACTCCGCCCCTCTTCCATATAACACTGTCAATCAAGTCACAAACCCCACCCCTCCTTTATATAACCCCACCAATCAACTGACAAACTCCGCCCCTCTTCCATATAACCCTGTCAATCAAATGACAAACCCCGTTCCCCCGACATTTAACCCCGCCAATCAAATTACAAATCCTGCTCTTCCTCAAATCAACTCTCCTCCTCCCATCAGAAGCTCCACCTCTTTGATTTATAACCCTGCCAATCAAATGACAAACCAAGCCCCTCCTCCAATGAACTCTCCTCCTCCCATCAGAAGCTCTGCTTCTTTGTCTTATAACCCTGCCAATCAAATGCCAAACAACATCCCTCCTCAAATGAACTCTCCTCCTTCTGTCAGAAGCCCCGCCTCTTTGTCTTATAACCCTGCCAATCAAATGCCAAATACTGCCCCTCCGTCGGCGTTGGTGAGTCCAGTGCCACAAGTAAACCCCGCCCCTCAGGTTGCAAACTCTGTCCCTCCCATCACAAATCCTGCCTCCGTATACTCTCCGTTTCTTAGCCTCTTTCCTCCTATCAAACGCACCTCCAAACCTCCTCCTCTTCCTGTGCTTCGTTATCCAAAGGTGAGCCGATGTCATCCAAGTGCAGTACTATTTTGGTGACATAATTTCTACAGAATTCTTTTTTATTTTTGCACAGAGCATCGCCGTTTCCCAGAATCCCGAGCGAGTGCCAAGCTCTACGAGTGGGTTTTCCTCACCTGTGGACAGGTAAACCATATTAAGAATCAATCCAAAAATTATGACTACTACTCATTATTATATTATTATTATTTAAAAGCTCATATAATTGCTGTAAAAATGCTTTATCTTATGATATTTTATGTCTGGATAACAAATAATTTAATAAATGAATATAATATTTACAAATTTATTTAGATTTTGGTATGTATTTCAGATGTGAAATCTGTTCCCTCCTCCCCTCACCTGGTCCCTCCCCTTGCATGACTTCTCCCCTCCTCTCCTCTCACCTGACCCCTCACCTGGGCCCCCTCCAATTTAACCTGGCCAGGTTCAACTTTGCTCTCTGGTCTTCTGTCAGGCCAAAGCTGGCACACAGTCAGACAGCAGTAATGTAGATAGCACCTAGTGGTGATATGTGAGAATGCAATGGGGCGGATCAGCCATGATTGCAAATAGTAGCTTTAAAGCCACTGTACCACTGATTTACTGTCTTAGAAATGTGGAAAAACAAATTGAGTAAAAAAGGCAGCAGTCCAAAGTTATTTACCTCCTAAACAACTAGCTTGCAGAGCACAACACCTAACTTTCTGGTTGCTGACGATAAAATGCTTTTGTTGATGGCACACAGCGGTGTCATATTGATCCTAAGAGCTGATTTTATAATATATCTGTACTGGGGCAAGACTATTTGTACAAAAATGAAGTGTAGCTCTTTTATGTGTTAAACCTGAATTTCTGTATTTGCTCTTAGCTCTGCCTCCGATGTGATGTCTGGGATGAGTGACAGGGACGAGAGCCAATCAGAGCGTAGCATCCGGTTGACCCGCCGCGCCAAGGCTAAGGCGTTCCAGAAGCGTGCACGTCTCCGGATCACCTCCCTGTTGGACCGGGTGGTGGAGTGTCAGCTGTTCACTCACGATAACAAAGTGGTCACCTACAAATTTGACCTGGATGCAGACAACCCCGAGGACATCGCTTCAGTCATGGTACAGAAAGAAGATACTTATTCAGTCACTTCTGTCCTTAACTCCTCTCTTAAGGGGACAGGACTTTTTCAATTCTGTGTAGTGTAGACCCAGACCCACTACCATAGTACACATTACATAGAAGTTGATGTAGTTTCTTGTTTTCAGTTCTTTAGTGCCAAACAAACTTAAATTTGAACTCTTTACACTGATACTGTGTTTTTAGATCCACAGGGACTTTATTCTGAAACCTGAACGAGACGCTTTTATCGACCGCATGTATGACATCATCAAGAGGGCGGAGTCTATGAATCAGCCCAGTCCACTACAGGAAGCACAGGTAAGGTTTACATTTTAAACACTTCCTGGTTCCTCCCATGGATCTATAATAAAAACTGGATAAGGTATTCCCCCTCTGTCCCGGTTCAAGTCCGACTAGTAGCTGCTCTAGTGGCCGACTAGTGTGCAGCTCCTGGGAGCTTTGGCCCAGAAAGAATTCTCCCATCGAAGCACAGCACAGCAATGCATTTTGGGGGAATTCAAACTGCCCTTATTTGGCTGACAGGTCATTGACATCCTGCACAAAGGTCGGATTTTGTAGAGATTCTTTTCTATTTTCACAACATAAACTTTAAAAAAAAATTTAAATCCTCAAAGTGCCTAAAAGTTAGCTTTGTAAGACTTAGCCTAGCCCTGCTCTAGCAGCTCTCACTCTGATTGGTCCAAACGCTCCACGCCATGCACATTACCTACGGCGCACGGGTGGGAGGCTCTAGCCCCTACTGAATAAATAAATGCAGAAGTGAATGAAGTGAAGTAATTTTTCTGGGGGGCCCATGTGCCATTGAGCACAGGCCTTTGAAAACAATATGGCACCATCTTGGATTCATCTTCCAGATTTTATTATAGTTCTATGGTTCATCCATAAATGTTTTGTGTTTTCTGATCATCTGTTCTATTTGCAGCCAACTCTACCTCTACCTCTACCTCTGCCTCTACCGGTGCAAACTTTGTCAAGGTCCCACTCGTCCTCCTCTTTGCCGGGTAACATTTCATTATGTTTTTAAAGCACCATTTCATATCTCATATGAAACCACAGATCCTGTGAACTCAAAAATATAAGACAGATGCACTTAATGCCATGTTCTGGAACATTCTTGCCAAAATCCAGATCTTGTCTCATGTCTGAAGCTAAGCAGGGCTGGACCTGGTAACTTACCAGTGTGTGGAGTGAATGAATAATGCGCCAAATTGTAAAGCATCTTTGAATACCTGGAAAAGCTCTGTATTAGACGATTGCATTAATATTATTAACAAAAACTCATTGACTCCTGCTTGTCTCCATTCAAACAATCATTAACTAATGAATCTAAACAAACTCTGTGTTTCTAGAAATGGCTGACACTGCTCCAGCCACGGTGGGTGTAGACTTCTATGTGGACAGAGAGGCCACGCCCCCTGTGAGGTCACTTAGATCTCAGTCTTTTCACAACACCTCAGGTAACTAAATCAGCACTTTTTAACATTCTATATCATTTCCTTGGATAAAGATGAATGCATTTGTAGGGAATCATTTGATGGTTGCAATTCCTAAACTTGAAATATGTAAATCACACATTATTATCCTGTCTTCTCTAGCCTCTTCTCCTCAGCCTCAGCCTCAGCCTCAGCCTCAGACTCCGCCTCCTTCTCCGTATCCTTATCAGTACCACCCCCAAACACAAGCACCGCCGATGCCCCAAACTGCAGCCTCCCACTGGCCGCATCCAGACCAGCCCATCTTCTCCCTGTCCAATGTTCTGTCTCTGGCGATGAGTGTGGCACAGAACTGGATGCCCCCTCCTCCTCCTCATCCCCCTCCAGCTCCTCCAGCTCCTCCAGCTCCTCCAGCTCCTCCTACATATGGCTCTCCCCCCACTCCCCCCATGTCTCCCCCTAGGCCCCTGCAGCAACATCCGTCATACAGTCAGCTACCGCCGGGGGCTCCTGTGCTCCCACCTACAGCTTCAGGCCACATCCCATCCCCACCTGCACAGGTAAAAGCTCACTTGTTATATAAATGTGTGTTTGCTCTGTTCTGAAACAGAGTAATAGCATGGTAATAGGCTGTGTTCAAGTTCTATGGAGGGCGGCGCCTGTATAACTCTACGGGAGATTCACTGTTTTTGAAAAAAATCTTCAAACTCATGATCCACAAATCTTAAAATTATTTGTTAGGCCTGAGCCCCTATAGGATGTAGCCCATGCACTCATCATTGTCAACTGTCTTAGGAAGTCAGTAACATAGTCTTAAAGTCCTGTCATCTGACTTCTTTGGCACCACGTTCTGAAGCTATTTATTCTGACAGAGAAGACATTAAAATTTGTCAGTTTTTGTTGTCATGTGAATAGGCCCAGTAATTACTGAAATGTGCACCATAAACCAGGTCCACATATCTGCAATCTGACAGTTACACAGCAAATTCCACCACAGAGTTCTGACCTGTCTCCAGCTCAGTTTTAAAGGGACAGTTCAGAATTTTGGACATTAGGGCCTCATTTCCTAGTGAGCCAGAGTGCTGTAGATGTGTGGAGACACTTCCTTTTGAAATAATCCATCCAGTCCTTGTATTTGCAGAGGTCGCTGGTGCATGTCAATGGCCACTGTTATCCTGCCACTAAAAACTTACTCAGTCCACAAACACCCAAAGCAAATCTGTTATTACACCAGACTGTCCATGTAAATGTCTGTGTTAATTTTAGAAGTAAAACCAACCTTGCATTTGAAGGATTTATGTCTGAGCAGCAGCGAGTTGTACTACTGGCGCAATGGCGCAGCACAGCACGTGAGCAGCAGACAAGCCAAACCAGCAGCAGCAGGTTTGGCTTTCCATTTTAACCAGTCTGACAATCCACACTGGCAGTGTCGTGTCCAATGACCGTCTGACACTGACGCACTGCTCAAGATAGGTTGGAGTTCTAATTTTGCAGTGTCACCGGAGCGTCTCCAAGGTTTTTAGCAGGGGAAAGACAGGAAATAAACACGCCATTTTAAAATAAACTTCCGATGCCATTCCAAAGTAAGTTAACCAAAGTCAAGTCAATGACATAAACAACGCGCACCGCATCCAAGGAAAGGTTAATGATGGACGACGAAAAGTTAATCCTCAAAGTGGAGAAATATAACGTAATTTACAATGTCAGACATCAATTCTACAAGGACTCAGGACTAAGCCAGAACTAGGACTCACTGTCGGAATGTGCTCGGAGGTTCCCCCGTGTAGACTGTCGAGTGACAGCGGGCAAAAGGGCCGGTGCAGAGCTATGCGCACCACGGAGGTATGTAGGCATGTAGTCCTGACCCGCTCATGTGAAATCACTACCTGCCAGTAAAATTTCAGAACATTAAAACCCTCCCGTTTCAGCAACTATTTGCCCGTATCAGTCGGTGCAGGACTCTGTATCAAGATATAAACGTATAGGCCTTATTACATACGTACATAAGATTTTAATCACACTCGTAATGTATGTTACATGAACCATTAATTATAGGTGAATTTACCTTATTGAGAAAAAAACTGAGGTGTTTTATGTGAGTGTTTAACCTTCATTAAACCACAAATACAAGATGAAGTAGAAATGTAGCTTTATAGATATAGATATTGTAAACTTTATTTATAATATCTACAATAAAATCTGCCATAATCATCCTAAATGCATTGCAGTTCTACACTTAATTCACAGTACATATTCTAACTTAATACACCTTAACATAAAATTTAAAAAAAGAACAATAAGTCTCTGACGCCCTGGTGTGAATTGAAACTTTTAAATGTACGCGTGCAGCGCTGCTGCAGATCTTGGTGTGAATTTGGGGTAAAAGTTTGTTTACTCACAACTGCCATAGCAACACACAGAGCACAGGAAGAAGCCTGTTCCAGATATGACCACGTTCAAATCATCACAGCTAGAGCAGTAAAATGTGCTACTGCTGAGAAAATAGTCCCTCAACATGCAAAGATTCAAGCGATACAAGGTTAGTTTAACTTCTAAAATTATTCTATTGACACAGACATCGACAGTTTGGTGTACAGTAATAATAGATTTGCTCTGGGTGTTTTGTGGAGTGGGTGAGACTGTTTTTAGTGGCAGGATAACAGTGGCCGTTGACATGCACTAGCCTAGCACCAACGACCTCTGCAAATAGCAAACAACACTCTGTCTCATTAGGAAATGAGGCCCTATGTCCAAAATTCCGAACTGTCCCTTTAAACGAGGCTATTACCAGGTTATTATTATTTAATCATGTTGTGTAATGTTTACTGTGCCACAGACCTCTTTAACGATATGATACGAAATATCCCAAGGGCCAACTTTCGATGGCATCATCAGATTCAGAAGTTTAAACCATGTTTATATTAAAATTTAGGTGAAAGTTCAGTTTTGCAGATAAGAAACTGTAGTATTCATGTAATTATCAATCAAACCCCAAGCCCTGGATCCACTTTGACATCCACTGCTTTAAAACACACATTATCGGTCCGTTACTCATTGTTTTTCTGTTATAGTGTGACATAACAAACATAAGAGTCTCAGCAGCCTGTTGTTCTTTGCAGCCTGCCAGCCCTGTGCTCCAGTCTAATTCTACCTCCACTCCAGCCTCCTCAGGTGAGTCATGCTTTACACTAGAAACACTCCAAGTTAACAATGTAACCGGGGCTCTATGAAAAGCACCACCACTGTGCTTTAAAGGGCACACATCAAGCTAAATTAACTTTCCGGAGCTTTTAACCAACTTGTTGTCGCCTCATCAAAAACATACCTGTATTTGTATTTTGCTTCATTTTTGCTTGTTTCATTAATCCATTAAAGGCCTCATATTACACTATTTTCTTATTTATATTATAATGTTGTTTTCTCATCACAAACAGACCTGGAGTTGTGTTTTGTTTCATTCACACATGTTTAACACACAAATCCTGCATATTTAAGCAGTGTTCTTGTGATGTCTCATGGTAATACAGGAAGTGCTCCACACAACTCCATACACTTTCACTAGAATTATTTGGATAACTTCAGCCCGGGAATTTCCGATCTCTACTGAACAAAAGATAAAATGTATCTGTAAACTACCACTGTATGACATCACAAGGTGGAACAGAGCATTTTGAGTTTTGGAGATGCAAACAGACTAATAATAAAGGATTGCTCAAATGTGAGTGAATGAAACAAAACTCCAGGTATGTTTCTGAGGAGGTTACAAGATTATAACATGTCTTAAAGCTCAAAACTGTTCATTTTGTGTAGTATAGGACCTTTAATCCAAAGCTGTCTTCTTCTTGATTTAAATTTTCCCTGGATTGTGGCGTCACAGGTATAAATCCTGCACAGTTTTTAAGTTAATTGTTGCTGACAAATATGCTTTGCTTCAGAAAATAGCATAATATGAGTCCTTTAAACACTAATTAAAATTTTTCTTTCACTGTTTATTTTAGGCTCAAACTCTGGAAGTGACGCCTCATTTACAAACAAACCTGTAAGACTTTGATATGAAAAGCGTATGATTTTTCTGCACAATTAGCAGCATTACATTTCAATTTGACTGTTCTTTTGTGTAGCTCGTTTCTCCTCCTCCGTCTCCTTCACAAAGACTGTCACCTCAATTATCTCCTATGAACAAATCTGTAAGGCTTCCACGTGTAAAATGTTGTAATTTTTCTGCATCATTATTATTAATTTAGTTGTTTAATTTGCCTGTTTTTTTTTTCTGTAGCTCATGTCTCCTCCTCCATCCCCTTCGCAAAGACTGTCGCCCAGATTAGCTCCTATTCAAGAAGGTAGGTAACAACTTAAAGCAGCACTATGTAACTTCCCAGCTTGTATCCATAGAGATGATTAACCTGGTTCTACACAGTGTCACTCTGGATCGATTCTCACTGAAAACAAAATCAAAATCAAACTTTAGTCAGATCCAGTTGAGACAAAAGCACAGACGTCTTCCCTGTCCACAAATACACAAAGCACCTACTTACACAGATATTTTCATTGGTTAGCGCAGGATACAAAACAATAAACTACAACTTCACAAACCTGGTGCAATGTGCAATAGGTTTATTAGCAGGATGCACTCTGATTGTGCTGTGACGGCGCTCTGAAAGGTGAATGTCTTAGCACAGAGAGCAAAGGGAAGTGGGACAGAAAGCATCAGAAACGTTAATTTGTTGTTTTGGATTGTAGCCACTATAAAAGATAATATGGTAATACCCAATAGAAGTACAATGCCCAATTTTTCAAAGGACATGTTACTTAAAACTTTTCACAAGGTGCAGCTTCTTCTAATTTTTTTTTCCATTTTGATATTTTTAACAGTAAAAAAGCAGGGGTTTAAAGTGGGGCGTTTCCAAGTCTCCGCCTCTAAAGACAATCGATCTTTGACCCAAGCCACTCCCACACGGCACTCCCCGCCCCCTCAGCGTCCCAGCCAATCAGAGAGCAGCTCCGAGACCAGCAGCAGCAGCAGCAGTGGCCACTCACAGGTCGGCGTCTCTGCACGAACCAATCAGGACAGAGACAAGGAATCGGAGGAGCGGCATTCTGGAAATAGCCTATCACATTACGGCAGACACCAGACGGACATGAGCTCTGACGAATCAGAGAGCGAGAACGAGGATGATGTCATGTGGGCGGAGCTACGGGAGCTACAAGACAGGTATGTCAGTTAGTCACTCTCACCTTTTGTTGAAAATCAAACTCCTAAAAAGGACCATGAATGCTCATATTGATCACAGGCTCCTGAAAATGAGCTCTTTAAATCCACTTTGTATTAAGGTTTCAAACTATCTTTTTTGTAGTTATTGCTGATGTGTGCCTTGTGTTACCATGGTGACTGTTAAACGTTCCTCAATAAACATATAGGTAGTAGACCCCCTCTCACATCGTCAGGAAGACTGTTCGACATTTTAGCTGCATCGAACTGAAATGCTGATTCCCCATGTTTAGTCTTGACTCTGGGCACCAGCAGGGGGCTGTTTATAAATAGGTTATGTTCACGTAACATCACAAAAACTGAACTATTGGTTTGAAGCATTGAATGCTGAATTTTACTTTAGCTTTGTGACCTTTTGTCGCCAAAAAAGGAAAAAAAAGAAATACAAGATTTTGGAGCAGCAATGCAAAATACAGTTTTTGGGAAGTGATTTCAAGGTCTTCTTGTGTAAAACAGAAATGAAAAAGTAAATGCACACAAGCGTTGATCTGCTGTCAGACCTTTAAAATGGTGATTATTTGAGGCTCTTTATACATGGAATGTTTCACAAGTGACCAATCAGTCACATTAGTTTATCTGTGACACAGAGCAGGGTACGGTGCCTCTGAGCTGGACTGCTGGAAATGGGGCTGTACTCCACAGCAGTGGTTCCCTAACTGTGGAACATGTATTTATTTACTGGTGCTCAAGTGTGTTGTGTGGCAGATCCAGCCTGATATAGTCTGGTCCTCACACCTGTCATGCCTCAAGCCAGAACCAAACATGACCGTCCAATCAGCTTTGTTTATTTTAGTGACGCATGGAAATGAAGATGCTCATTGGTCAGGTTTCATATGGAACAAATCAACATTTCTCTCTTTAGAGTCCATTTAACCCGCCAGTCTATCCTCATGTAGGACGGAGGATGTAACTGATGTAAAAACTTGAGAGTCACCTTACAATAATAAATGAAGTAGCGTGTAGCCACAACATAACTGTACTAATATACTACCATTTAACAGTAGTAAAGTGTAAGTGTACCGCACCTGTCTCTCCTCAGACACCTGGCGCAGGTGCAGGAGCTCCAGGCCAACCAGAAGAGAGAGATCGAGCAGCTGTATGTGCGCTTAGGGAAAACGCCCCCTGCTGCCATCATGGCACCAGCGGCCATTTTGCACCCGCGCCCAAGAAGGCTCTCCAAAACCGGACCCCACCAAGGCTCCACCAGACACAGCAGCCTGCACCGCCTGGAGCACATTCTGCCTGCTGGTGAGGAGTGATACTGCACCGTAAAGTGCCCGTACCTGCTCTTTACATCATGCATCACTTGGTAAAAGATGCTAAATAAGAAATGTCAATTTATATAGCTTATATTTATATATTTTCTCTGGTATTAATTAATATAGAAGCTACTGATAGTGTCAGCTCTTTTCATCCAATCAGGCACATTTTTAAGAATCATGGAAAACCAACTTCCTAACATTACCCCAGACAGTAGTTTAATATCACCGCAACAGAAAGGACTAAGTAGGCGGGGCTAAAAGTTCAAACTTAAACATGTTCCTGACTTATGGTTTTAATCAGGTACAGACCCTTTAATATCTGTAGTCACTGGTTTATTTGTCCTTACAGGCATCATGAGGAAAGGCTCTCTGGGCGGCAGCAGCAGTGGATCTCAGGAGAGGGTCAAAGGAGTGACCTTTGCCCCAGACGCGACCACGATGGTGAGTCTAGAGAGTGTTAGCGACAGGACAGAGAGAGTACTGCACATGTTACTGTTACATAAACAAGCATAGAGCACTTAGACCACAGTGGGTAGAATATGAATGCCTGGCAGGTCCAGACTGATGTATTTTTATACAGAGGGATATCAGTCTGGTCCCTCTGCCCTTCATAGTGTCTCACTTCACATTAACAGTTTCACTCATCGATACTGCTGAAATCCTCCATGTTTTTTATCAGTCTATCCACATTTTCAAAATTCAAAATAATGTTCCACCTTGTAATGTCATGAAACAGGATTTATTTATTTTTTATTAATAGATATATTTTATCTTTAGTTTAATAGAGATTGGCTGAAATTATCTAAATGATCCTAATGAAGAATGATGTATGATGTATGGAGTTTAAAATCACAGTGGAACTCTTTCTGTACTACCACATGACATCACCAGGTGCAACAGAGTGTTTTCAGTTATAGGGAAGAACTCAGCCTAAATATGCAGGGTTTGTGTGTTAAACATGTGTGAATGAAAAAAAAACCACAAATGTTTGTGATGAGGAAACATTATAACATAGATCAGAAAATGGAGTGATATTAACCCTTTAACTTTTGCTTTGTTTTTCCACAGAACACTTAAAGGAGAAGACACACACTTTACCTCAGGTTCGGAGACTGGATTCACATTTGTTGTTGTTGTGTTTCCGCACTTTATAAGCTTAATATTGAGGCTTTTTCACTTGCCACTTTAAACTATTTCTGTGTACTGCTATGAGGCTGTGCTGTGTTATTTGTGATTCTTCAGCCAACATGGGAATATTAAAGGCACTGGACCTGATTTTTATTACATTTTTTTCATATATTTGGGCAAAACACGTCTTGCCCTAGTACACGCATTTTGTATAAGCAGCTCTTGAGATTAAAATTTGTGTATTATCTGCATCTAATTATAAAGCGTTTATTGTCTGATCATCTGGAAGTGCGCGGATAGTATGCTAGTTGTTAGTAAAATTCCGCTTTGGAGAGTTGTGAAAAGTGCTTATAAACTCATCTTGGTGAATAATTAGGATGCTCGGAATGCATAAGGTAAGTGAGGAATAATTTTGGACCACTGCAATCATGTTGAAAATGAACTTGTTCTGTTTTCACGTTTTTAAAGAAGACATATTGCGCTTGTATATATAGAGCCACATATATAGTTCTAATCTATAACAACTGTGGATCGTTCTGTTATAATTTGGACATTTTAAATCACAACATTCATGTAAAACGACTTCATAAAAGAAATAAATCCTGACTTTTGTGCTGACGTCGCCGCAAACGTCACCACAACAAAGCGCCGGCACCTCTGATGGATATTTGTTTTTCATTTGTACCAAAATGACTACGCAATGCTGCTGAATCCTACACGTATCACTGATTAACAAAATAAAACTGGAGAATAAAGTACGTAGAGCAGTGGGCGTGTATCAGTGGCGATGATCGGCAAAATGGTGTCCTCAAAATAAGCGATTAAAGATTACTCAAACATGCATGAATCACTCCAAATACAACTTGAGGGGAAACAACAATAACCTCCTTAAAAAAAATTAAGTGGATTTTGGAGAATAGGCCCGCTTTAAAGGTTGTATAGAGGATTTTCCAAGGAACGAGAAATCCAGCGACTGTTTGTCCTTTTTCAAATGTTGCGCATGCGTGAAACCACCCCCCCTCCCCTACAGCTCCTACGTAGAAACGCCTCCTCCCGCCTCCTCTTTACGCCAGAAACAGGTTTGTTTACAGCCGGTGCACATGACTTGTAAACAACTAACTACAGTGTTGGTTAGGCAAGACGGAGAAGTGAGGAGCGGGGGGAGCGGGTGTGCGGACATTTCATTCGTGGACGAGAAGTGAGGAGCAGGGAGAAGAGCGGAGCAGGGAGAGAGGAGAGGACAGGGGAGCAGGGAGAGAGGAAAGGGGAGCGGTGCGCGGAGATTCCGTGCCCGGAGAAGTGAGGAGCAGGGGGAAGAGTGGATCGGGCAGCGGGGACAGGAGCAGGAAAGGGGTGCAGAGAAGGTTGCGCGGAGATTCAGTGCGAATGAACAAGCTACAACACGCAGCAGCAAGCGGACTCTTTCTTTGCCTTGAAAATGACGTTTTCAGACAAAGGATATCGCTTTTGTGTCCTGAAAAACGTTTGTCTAGCTCTTGGAAATAAAGTACGTTTTCATAATAAGCAGAAGTGACCTGTCCAGGAGTAATTTGGCGACCAGTGCGTCAGTCTTTAGACCCTGCGTCTGCTTCAGTCGCTCCATCGCTGGAATGAATCTTCAAGAATCACCTTAGTTTGGCTTCGCTGCTTTTCCCCTTGTCTTCTTCTTTCAGTGACCTCAAAAACGGACTTTCTTTTGGGGCGAACTGCTCCTGGATTCTTGTCGCCATTGCAACAAACTTTGTGCGAACTGCGAGGAAGATATAGGTCAAAAAAAGCCGCTAAGAACTGTTGCGTTGGTGGAGTAAACAGCGTCTGTGCGGCTTGCGTCTGTGGACTGCGTGACAGGCGTACGTAAACCACGTACCGGCGGCGCGCAGGCAAGTCAGTTACGCTAGAAACGTAGGGAGATTGATTGACAGCCTGTCAGCTAACAGATAACGAGGCAGTGTCGTTATCTATTGGCAAATGTTTAGCCCCACCACGTCCAGAGTTGATGAATTTTTATTCTCTTTTTTTTGGTCATCATAATTACAAGGCTACTGCACCTCTATAATGCTATCATTGACAACTTGAAACAAAAAAAAATCCTCCATACAACCTTTAAGTCATAAAAATCAGGAACAGTGCCTTGAATTTGCCAAAGCTATACGTTGCTGCTACACACTATTTATTTAAATGAACTTTCTTTAAATGTAATGTAAAAATCATAATTTATAATAATTCTGTCACTGCTGCTTCTTGTATTTTTGTGCTTTTCTTCTCAACTACAACTTAACTGATGTAAAACCACCGGTGTTATCCAACCAAACCAAGTCATAGACAAACATGAAACCCTGCCATATGCACTTTAAACTGGAGGATTTCTGTTGTTGTCATGAACCCAGACTGTTAAAGTTTGCTGTTGCTCCTGTTTGAATAATTACATCTGAGAAATGAGTGAACCGTTTCAGTTTTTTTTTGTTTTGTTTAGGGTCAAAAACAGTTTAATTTTGCCATATGAATAATCAAAAACGTCACATCTTTGAACCTACAAAGGTGTACTTCAGTTTCTTATGTATGAGAAAGGGCAGTAAATTGGGATGAGGGGACACACCAACTCCCTCACACCTGGGATACAGTTCTGAAATGGGACTGCAGATGTTGCTTTTGTTCTACTGTTTCATGTAAGACAGCTCAAAATAAACTGTTTAAATCAGCTGAGTGTTGTGTCTCATATGTTTCATGATTTACAAAGTAATCAGCATTTAAATTATTATATAAATGAGCTGAGCAGATACATCACAAGACAAAGAGGAAGGTGCAGAGTGTGGCTCAAACTGTCAAGGTATGAAATAGTACCTCTCTCTCCCCTATGTTGAGAGTAATGTGTTATAAAAGTAACGTATTACTGTAATGCATTGCTTTTTGCAGTAAAGCAGTAGTGTAGGCATTACAGGGAAAAAAAAGTAATATTTTATTCGGTACAAATGTCAGTAACGTGCATTACAATGCTTTTTTTTAACCTGGATTAGTGTTTTTTGTTCTTCATACAAATTCACTAAAATCACCGCGATATCAGCAGTGGTGAAATGCCGGAGATGCACTCGCGTAGACCGTTGGGTGACTGCGAGCGAAAGGACCGGCGCAGAACTACACGCTCCATGGGGCGAACCACAACTGACGCCCGATCGCACCTTGCAGACACCCTGTTCCACGGACTCGTGGTTCTCTCAGGGGCGCTCCTAGATTCCAAGTTCTAGTCCAAGATTAGTCCTGGTTCAGCTCTGGTTTAGTTCTAGTTTAGTCCTGGTTTAAACCTATAGATTAGTCCTGGTTTAGACCTATAATTTAGTCCTGGTTTAGACCTATAATTTAGTCCTGGTTTAGACCTATAATTTAGTCCTGGTTTAGACCTATAATTTAGTCCTGGTTTAGACCTATAATTTAGTCCTGGTTTAGACCTATAATTTAGTCCTGGTTTAGACCTATAGTTTAGTTCTGGTTTAGACCTATAGTTTAGTCCTGGTTTAGATCTATAGTTTAGTTCTGGCTTAGTCCTCGGTTCAGTCTTGATTTAGACCTAGTTTAGTCTTGGTTCAGTTCTGGCTTAGACCTGGTTTAGTCCTGGTTTAGTCCTGGTTCAGTCTGGGTTGAGCTCTGGTTCAGTTTTGGTTCAGTCCTGGTTTAGTCCTGGTTTAGTTCTGGTTTAGTCCTGGTTCAGTTTTGGTTTAGTCCTGGTTTAGTCCTGGTTTAGTTCTGGTTTAGTCCTGGTTCGGTTTTGGTTTAGTCCTGGTTCAGTTCTGGTTTAGACCTGGTTTAGTCCTGATTCAGTCCATATACGGTGCAAAAGTTCAGCATTTTCACAGTTATTTTGGTGAGAGTAACTTAAAAGTGCTGCAATAGTCGTGTAATGTCTTACATTTTAAATACAGTAATATTGTAATATAACGTATTACTTTGAAATGACAGTAACAAGTCATAAATAAATAACACATTACAGTTTTAAAGTCACTTGCCCAACAGTGTCTCTCCCCTCCCTCCTCTCTTTATACATACAGCCTGCGCTTCCATATCTCTCTCTTTCTTTTCTCTCCCTCTTTCTGTCACTTTCTCTCTCTCTCATTCACCCTCACTCACTGTTTCAGGCCCCTTTTCTTTCTCTCCCTTTTTCTCTCTCTCTCTCCTCCCTCTTTTCTCTTTCCTTTTTTTTCCTCTATCCTTCTTTTCTCTCCTGCGTTCACATGGAAACCACTGCAGACAAATGTCCATTCACTTCACATACACCGTCTTTCCTGAGTCCACATCTCGATTATAATCTTACCGTTATCTAAAGCTTCTTCTGTTTTAACCTTGTTCTAGTAGTGTGATGTAATGTTCCACAGTGGGGCTTTAACCCTGTTCCCTGGAGTTGTGTTTTGTTTCATTCACACATTTCAGTAATCCTGTGCATTTATTCTTAAATGTTTGAACAAAAGAGCATTATATTTTCCACGGGTTAATTTTAGCTGTATCTGTTTTAATGAGAGGAAGATCACTAGATGGCAGCATGAGAGCACATGGTGTAGGCCTACATTCACAGTAATAGGCCGTAATGTAATGAAAATAATCATGTTTTATTTATATTTTCTTAAAGGTCCCATATTAAGCAAAATTGACTCTTGTGAGCTTTAAGTCATGTTACAATGTGGTTACTTCCTCAAAAACAGAAAACCAGACCTGAAGTTGTGTTTTGTTTCATTCACACATGTTTAAGTCTATATTATGAGTCTGTCTACATCTCCAATACTGAAAATACTCTGTTCCACCTTATGATGTCATGAAGTGGTAGTTAGTAGCAGCTACTTTTTACTTTTAGTTCAGTAGAGATTGAAAATTATCCAGTTGATTCTATTGAAGGTGTATAGAGTTTAAAAACGCAATGGGGCACTTCCTGTATTACCACATGACATCATGAGGTGGAACAAAGTGTTTTCAGTTTATGTGTTAAAGGGACAGATCAGAATTTTGGACATAGGGCCTCATTTCCTGGTGAGCCAGAGTGTTGGAGACGTGTGGAGACACTTTTTTAAAATATTCCATCCAGTCCTTGTATTTACAGAGGTCACTGGTGCTAGGCTAGTGCATGTCAATGGCCATAGTTAGCCTGACACTAAAAACAGTCTTACCCACTCCACAAAACACCCTGAAACAAATCTATTATTACACCAGACTGTTCATGTGAATGTCTGTGTTGATAGAATGTTTGAAATAAAACTAACCTTCCATCACATGAATAGTTGCA